CATGTAAGTTTTAGGATGTACTGAATTGCGGCGACTGGCTAAAGTCAGATCATTCACGCAGTCCTTCGCACATTTTGTAAAACGCTAAAACTTAAGCGAAAATAGTTACAAAATTGTATTTAAAAAAATCGAGGGATAATCCGTCGACAAAGTTTTGCAAGATTACAAATTACTACAGTGTGGCATTATTTGATACAAGTTTGTAAAATAATTTCAAACTCAGACGGATTCGAAGTAACCTTTTGTGTGAATGGCAAGCATAGCTTTTCCCACCTGTTTCTTTAATTACTTAATTCTAAAAGTTTACAAATTTCACTAGTGTCGCCTAAATGTGCAGAAATTGTAATTAACAAATACGGTATTTGTTAATTAAAATTATATGGAAAATTTTTGGGTATTTGGAATACCCAAATATATTTTATTCTACTCACAAGGGACACCCACGACCTGTCGTTTGAGTCCAGGGTACCCACTATGTTTTTCAGAATCTACTGGGACCCCAGATGAAGGATTCATTCATATTTCCGTGTAAAACTCATATTTGGCGCCATGGCGTGGCGCCAAATTCGCCAAATTTGCATGTTTTTATTTTTGAAACCGCCATAACTTTTGAAAACCTGTACGGATTTTCAAAATTTTTGGCAAAAATCATGACAAGGAGTTCAACTTTCGTATCCAATGAAATTTTTTCCAAAATTATCACTTTTAACTTTTCGCAAAATTTCGTAATTTTCTTATAAACGGGGGTTCGTTAAAAAAGGTGGAGAAAAAATGCTAAAAATATTTCAAAAATTAGAAATTTTTTATTTTTATTTTTTTCTCAAAAATTTCGACTTTTGTGATCATTTTAAGTATAAAATTTTGAAAATCCGATATAAACTGCAAAAGTTATGGGGGTTTGAAACTGGTCGAAAATGCAAATTTTGAAGTTTGGCGCCACGCCATGGCGCCAAATATGAGTTTTACACGGAAATATGAATGAATCCTTCATCTGGGGTCCTAGTAGATTCTAAAAACATAATGGGTACCCTGGACTCAAACGACAGGTCATGAGTGTCCCTTGTCAGATTTAATCAGATTTTTGAAGCCAGTAAACTCCAGTCACATATTTTGCAGCATTTTATAAAAGAAAATATAGAGACGCCCTCGCTCTCTTTAGTAAATTGGCATTAAGCACATTTTTACAAAGTTACAAAGCTGTCATGAAGTTTTAAAGGATAAAAGGACGCGTGAATTGCGTGAAGTTGTAATTTTTTGCGGGCGTACTTTATGCACCTGCCTCGAACCGAGGAGGGCAAAGGAATAAAAAACGAGACTCATGACCGATTTGAGTCACATACATAACTTGGTCCTGTGTATCAATCCAGGTCGGAGAAAGTCTGCGTAACGGGGTAAAATTGGCAATAAAAACTATTTGCCCACGAAAAAATTGGCTCCTCTCAAATTCCATTTTTGCGATTCACTATTTCTTTATAGGATTGATTTCAAGGAGAAAATGTCATAACTCTGAAGTTGCTGAATTCCTTACAAATTTTTTTCTCGGAGAAGATTACATGCAAAAATGTTCGTAATATGAAACTTAAAAATCGCATACTAGTTTAATTTCAGAAGTTTGAAAGAGTCGAAATTTTTTGTGATAATTTTTATTTTTTTAAATACAAGTTTTTTTATGCAAAATGCCATATTTCTTAGGTGAAGGAAAAGTAACCATAAAGTGATCATGTTAAAAGATCACCATGGTTACGGCGAAGCCTAAGTATGCATTCAGCTGCAACTTTGAAAAACTCCCACTGAGATTTCGCCCGAACCGTTCATTGCATCGAAAACATGTTGAAACAAAAAAACTAGAGAATTCTGTTTTACAGAGACATTTTTCTTATTTTTCCAAAATTCTAATTCCTTCAGGTAGAAAGTCCGATGCCTAAATTTTCAAATCTATTTCTTGGCACCAAGGAAATGTTTCCGACCGGGGGCTTGCCATTTTTACTATTCTCCTGGATAATACGCACATTTTAAGCCTTTGTTCGACTTAATCGGATGAAAACTCATGGAATTAGAGCGTTTTGAAATATTGTCATTAAGCAACCTATTTACGTGGTGTTAGGTTACTGGTTGCTAATGTATGCTAATAATGTCAGGTTTATTATTTATTAGCATTACTATTTCAACATATGTAACATTCCTTAAAATTCTGAAAAATTAAACATTGATCAAATTCCATGAAATACAGTGTAACTAATCCACCCAGTCGGGATTAATTTAGTATGCCACGCATCCACACTCACAGAAAAAATGACACCGAATTGACACCATGCCGGTGTCTATATATGACTCTACCGGTTTAGTGTCAAATTGACACGGTGCGGTGTCAATTATGTTGCACACCGTTGCGGTGTCAACCCAACATGCCGTTGTGACAATACCAACACCGCGAATGGATTAGAGGTTGTGCTCAGTTATGTTGCTTCGACACTGCAAGATAATGATATGTGTGCATTTTAATATATGCATGTCACCACCCGGTGGCAAATCGTCCCCGGATTGTGACAACTGAACTACAACTTTTAGTAACAAATATTTTATTTTACATTCAACAATATTAAACATTTAAAAAATTAATCAAGTACTTCAAACATTCACAAGTAACAAATTATAACACTCGCACATATCAAACAATATTTTTTTCTTCATACCTTATGCACTTTTAAAGAAAAAACTTATATGTATGTACTTAACACGGTGATGATCAAAATATGACTAAATCGTTAAGTTAAATTAACTTTGCAAAAAAGATTTAATAATAATTAATTAAGCTGTCGGGTGGACAAATCCTTACTCGTCGGTTCCCTCGTGGGGTTCAGTGTTGAGTTTTAGCTTTCTGGAAACGATAAGTTTTCAAAATAAAAATACACACAGTAAAATAATTTTAATTAAATGAGGGAAAATTAATATATGTTACAGATTTTAACTCACCTGAGTCAAGAAATTGGAAGTAGTCCTTAAACTTATTAAAAAGAATTTTTTCCATCGAAATCAATTGAACAAACCAATTAATTTGTCCATTCTGTTGACTTTTTCGTGGAGGAGGAAGGAAAATGGCCGCCAAGCAGACCCGTGCACAAGGAAGAGACTGACACAATTTGGTGTGAAGTCCAAGTTTTGCTGCTGCGGTAACATCGCACCGTGTCAATTCGACACCATTGCAGGAATATCGCTGATACCAGTAGCGTGTCAACGCGTTTTTTTGCTCAGTGTTATTTTTACACAACGGTTTGACACTATTTAATGGAATTGAGGTTGACACCGATGGTTGGTGTTAACGAAATTCTTGGTTTTGTTACCAAGTTGCTAAGAGTGCACCCATAGGAAAGTTCACAACGTTTAAGAATTGATATTATGATTTTATACATTTAAGTTCACACTTCACTAAAAATAATTAAATAAATACATTTTAAAAAACAAACTTAGGTGAAGGACGCGCTTAAAATATTAAAACAAGAAGCATTACAAAATGTTACAATATCGGTTAATATTTAGTAACTTTTCTTCACCGTGGGCCCAACTAACAGAAAAAAAAATAATTCCAGGCATTTTGTGTAAACGAAAACGTAATTTGTATATAATAAACTTGCTAGATTTGAATTATTATCTTTCAATAAATAGTGACTTTGCACATGTGGTATAGAGAAAATTTGCCCACATTCTGACTCATTTTAATAACTATTCCTGAAACAGGTAGACTTATCGTTTTAATTGGTTAAAGAAGTCGCTCTTTTAGTTGCATTTAGTGTTACTTATCGCTGTGAAAATGAAATAGGTAGTTGGGCCCACGGTGAAGTAAAAGTTACCAAATATTAAACGATATTGTAACATTTTGTAATGCTTCTTGTTTTAATATTTTAAGCGCGTCCTTCACCTAAGTTTGTTTTTTAAAATGTATTTATTATAATTTGAATTTCTTAAAAACTGCATTAGTTTTTTTAAATGCACTTTTTAGAAATTCAATATTTTATTCCATAAATAGGATCGATTTCGCAAGTAGAAAGACGCTACACTAAAGAAATGTTTATTTGGGTAAAAATTGGCATCAACCACACGGAACGCCCACGGCACGTGGAGCAAAATGAAATAAATAAAATTACCGTTACATTCACAGATTGAATTGCAAGTAAAAAAAGTAGAACTTGGCACATATCTATTTTTTGGTATTCCATGATGAGAAATTGATATTTCAGTTTATTTTGTATTCAAAATTCCTTGCAACACTATTTTTCTAATGTTTGATTTCGTAGTAGTTTTGTTTCTGTTATATCTGAAATTCCCAAAAACCTTAATTGTTTAAAGGACTGGTAACTATTTTGATAGTAAACTTTACTCAAATGAAATAATTAATATTAATCAGGTTAAATGCCTAATATCTTCTAAAAATTTGCAGCGAAGCTAGTCTCGATTTAAGTAATTTTGAACTTTGTTCGTGCCGAATAATTCCTTCAAATTTCAAATTTATTTTCGACACACATGGGAACATTATGTAAATAAACGGCAAGAATATTTCAACGAACAGTTAAAATATGCAAGGAAAGAGAGAAATTGGCCAAATATATTTGGACATGTCGAAATTTTCGAGGTTTTCTCCACTTTTTTATGCAAAATGCAATAGCCGGTAAATTTCACTGAAATCCTCTAAATTATGTAAATGTTTTATTTAGTTAACAAGTAAAAATATATTAATTTCAAAATTTTATTGACGAGGTGATAGGTCAAAAATGTAAAAAAACGTTACACGTGTCAATCCTAACAAATATTTGACGGACAAAAAGTACCATGATTAATATTCATTTTGCCGTATTTTGACACACCGATTTCACTTTCACCTCTTGGTTGCATGCGATTTTTCTTACTGTGAAAGATCGACAATTTATAATCTTGCAAATTAAAAGCATTGCGAAAATATTGCAAAATTAGTAAATATTTTTGAATAAAAACGCTGCCAATCTTACCGTCCTCGTCCGTCCTGCACAAGAGCGGGGTTGAGACGGCCCCATCGCCGACGACGGTGAATCCTCGCACGGTGACGGAATAATTGGTCCATTTTCGTAACCCGTGCAAAACGAGGTCTCTCTCCGTCGTCACTTTGGTCTCAATTCCGTCCCCCGATTCGGCCTCGCTGCCCGGCCCCTCGTCCTGCCCTCCGACGACGAGGACGTCGACTTTGTAGCCTTGGACGACCCCGTGACGCGCCTCGAGCGGGGGTGGTTCCCAGGTCAAGGCCAGACTTTGCGGGGAGGTGGATCTGCACTCAAATTTCTCTGGAGGCTGGGTTGGCACTGAAAAAAAAGAAATTTATTTTGTCACAAATTTTTTTTCTGAAAATTTAGACTGAAGTTGAATAATTTTAGCAAGTTTAACGCCAAAATTGAGAAACTACTAAATCATGTGTGTCGAATGAAATTTCGTAGGTAGCAAAGGGGTTTGACGTAATTGAGCAAATATTTTTGGCAAATTTAGTTTAGTGCTAAATTATTTATATTGAGACAATTCCGCTACATAGAGAATATATAAATCTCATGTTGAAGATATCGTTTTGCCACATCAGTGCTACAATCATTAAAGAAAGCAAACTGAAACAAACAAAATAAACCAAACACTAAAAGAAATCACAACATTTAGAAAAAATAGCAATACGTGCTAAGAAATTGGCAAAAAGGGAATTCACATAGTCTTTGGTAACTTTGTAAAACGCGTAAATTTTGTAAACTATTTTTACAAACTTTCACAAAATTAAAAGACGCCCTTGATCTGAACAAGCTTACAAAAGTTGATAAGCTTATTTTCTTTAAACATATTTGTAACACTTTGTAAAAGTTCAGAAATAGGAATTTTCGAGCTGAACAAGAAATTTGTTTCGAGCTGCGTTACGAAAAGTAAATTCCGCTCACATGATTAATTAAAATGAATAAAATTGAGAGAAACCGAACAAGTAATGCACAAATAAAACTTCATTGTAATCTCGTGAATTAGATTTTAACTCGCTAAAAGTAATCCTGCCCGCTAAATAATATTGGAAGAGTTTGTTTGTTACCAATATTGTAATCATTTTTATCGTGGTTTGTTGTATATTTGGTAATACGTAATCTGATACCAGTGATTTTATTATATAACGATTTGTTACCAAGACTTGGAGCAGGGTGACGTCGATTTGCAAGAAATTGCCAATTTGAGAAATATACATACGTGTATAAGAAGGTTATGTAGCAATTTTAGAAAATTGGAAACTGACATTACATTTCGGCCTTCAGGTAATTCACGCCGTCCTTGGTAACTTGGTAAATCCGTGCGTTTAGTGCAATAATTTAAAAACTTTTACAAACTAAAGAGACGCCTTTGATCGGATCGTTAACAAAAATTTGTAAGCTAATTTTCCTTCGAAATATTTGTGAGATTTTGTAAAAGTTTGCAAATTTACAATGGCCTGTGTGAATTGCTTAAATGATTTGCAATCTTGCCAATCTCTAATTTTTATCGGCACATTATTATTTACAGTGTCGACCATGCAAACTTTGTAAATAAATCCGCGTGAACATGGAATTATTACAAATTCATGGCATCCGATCCATCACGTGCTAACACCTTTCACTCTAAAGTTTCCAACCGACTTCTAATTCAAATCGGGTGAAAGTGCTGGCCAGGTGTCAGCCCAGATTTAACGTAGGATTAGGTGACTCATCGTCATAGGTCTAAAAATCTGAACATTTTTATGCATTTCTCCGTTCTGGGAATTTATTTTTAAATTCTATCAGATCCATTGGTAGACCAGGTCAGTACCAATTTATTAAAAATATGCACTCTACATTCTGACAAGTTTTGAAGGAGGAGACCAAAAAAGAGTGAACACCTTCAGAAAAATTGGGTCTCCTCCTTCAAAACTTGTCAGAATGTAGAGTGCATATTTTTAATAAATTGGTACTGACCTGGTCTACCAATGGATCTGATAGAATTTAAAAATAAATTCCCAGAACGGAGAAATGCATAAAAATGTTCAGATTTTTAGACCTATGACGATGAGTCACCTAATCCTACGTTAATTCCGCACTCAGCAACGCCTCCTCCCACGCTAATCTGCATATTACATGGGGCCCGACATCAAACATGTGATTGATGTTAGTATCGATAGAAAATGGGACGCTTCAACCTCGATAAAATAGGACACATTCTTTATGCAGTCTCCATGAAATAAGAATACCATGGATCCATTTCATTCTCAAAATGAATGATTTATAAGAGAATGACACCATTCGAAGTGTTTCAAGTAGTATTTTTGAAACATGAATAGTAGAGTTTAGGTTAATATATTAACAATTTCAGTTTCAAAATGTGGGCAACTGTTTGGAAATATGGGACATTAAATGCTGAGGAAATTCGCACAGGCCTTGGAAGCATTGTCACATCCTTAAATTCTGTGAACTTACCAACTTTTACAAAAATTTTGGAAATATTTTTGTATCGAAAATTATGTCTTTTTTTAATACTTTCTTAGACCCATTTTTTTGTTATGAAAATTTGTAAAATTTTTACAAAATTTATAAACTTCGTGAATTCCCTCAACATTTGGAAGTTTCATACTTCGTAATACAAATGTTCATCTGCAGAGTTTGTAAGAAATAGAGAATAACCAAACATAAATAATTTAGCTGAAGAAGTGGTTTTTAAAAATTTAGTACCAATTTCATAACTTTGACGACACTGCAATAAAATTAGAAAGGACATAAAATCATGCAAATTGAACAGATGCACGGAAAGCGAATTCGGTCCTACACAAAACTTGATGTTGAGGATTATTTTGCTAGAATTATTTTTGGAATCCGTAAGAGTTAACCAATCTTTAATGATTACACAGTTTTTATTCACTGAAAACTGTTTAAAAATAAATTTGTAAAATTTGTACAATAATTTCTATAATTTGTCGGTTTCAAGTATTTTTTTTAAATTACAAAATCAATCACAATGGGCAATTCACGGAGCCCTTTGTAACTTGTAAAACCCGAAAATTTTGTAAAATATTTTTGCAAATAAAGAGACGCGAGACGCCTTTAATCCGAGCAAGTTTAAATTTGTAAGCAAATTTTCCTTAAGAATATTTGTAAAAGTTTGTAAGTTTTCAGAATTTACGAATTTTACAATGTTACCAGGCCCTGCGTGAATTTTGAAAATCGAATTTTTTGGCTCACCGTCTTGGAGCGTGGTGGCGACGGTGGGGCTGCTCGAAGGTCCGGCACCCTTAGCATTGAAGGCCTGCACAACGATGGCGTATCGCGTAAACTTTCTTAAATTGTCGATCGTCGTTTCACCCCCAAAGTCTTGACCAACCTGGAAATAAAGTAAAGTGCGACGATGCTTAATACAAATATCTTCTTTTTTAACGAGTAATTTCAAAAATTTGCAGAAAAATTTTCCAAACATACTTAAAATATAAAATAAGGTGGTTTTATTAAAGTTTTACAAGAAAGAAGAGATTTGGTAAATATATTTTCTTTTTGTAACTCACTCGAATATTCACAACCACCTAAATTTACCAAGGTTTACACAGGTTACGAAGAAATATCTTGCTAAAAATCTATAATTTATTGAGATAATCTATATAATCTATAATAATCTATAGTATATTGAGATGACAATTACTTGCCCTGTTGGCTCTTGGGAAAAGAAAAGTGAACGGAAGGAGAAAGCTGGGCATGAACGAGCTTCGTCTGGGGAAGGATTTCTTTGCGAGTCGCGTGAACTGAGCCGTGTCCGGAATCTAATTTAATGGACTTCTTTCGCGAAAATAATTAAGAAATCTTCTGCAATGCACGGACCTATCTTTTCCTTTTCACTCATTTTCCCTTTGACTTTCCTCTCAATCATAAATTCCAGTGTTTCGTTTGACACGTCCAAAAGCGTATTAAACTGCCCAAAATAATTTAAAAATTTCCAAAAGTCATGTCGATTTGTAGAAAAATAGGGCAAAATGTTGAAAGTTTTTTATGAACCACTTTTTCGCAAATCTATGCATGGATATGTAATCTCCCATTAATTTTGACCATTTTGGTTAGTCTTTAAGTAATACGACAAACTTTGGAAAAATTTTTGTTTTGACATATGAGAAATTCAGAAATTTTGGAAACAATGCTGCATTACACAGCAAAATGCTCAAAATTAATGGGAGATTCGCAAATATTCGTCAACTGATTATCGACAGATTACTAATGAAAAACCCATATTCTAAGTATTTCGAACATTTTTAGACATTTTTGACTTTCAAATTTCGGTATCCAAACCTTGTTGAAAGCCCAGTTTAGATGGTTGTTTTGGACGGTCGTGGACAGCGAAACCCTGCTAAATACCAAGTCATCCCGGACCCGAGCATGTTCCAGATTCGTGTAGTAAATTAAAATTAAAATGTGAAGTGAAATGAAAGTCAAAGTGGCCAAACGAATGGGTGCGAAGAAAGATAATAAATTTGCAAAAAGGAAGACAGAAAGTATGGGCATGCCGAAAAAGAAAGTGGATCTGTATGAAACTGGGACGACGAAAAAATCACCCATTTTTCTGGGAAATTAGTCAAAGAAAAAAAGTTGGCAAAATTGATAACATTTTTAACTGCAATGGAATGAAAGTGACTTTTTTAAGTTATAAAGAAGAGATGAAAAGAAAGTGGGGAGAAATTGGGAAATGATAAATAATGTTTCTTACGGAAATCTAAATGCATGCCTTTTATTCCTGTATTTAATCATGGCAACCGAATTTTGGGTATCTGCTAATGCTCTTAGATGTATTCATTTATACCATTTTTTTAAGTTCGATGTGGAATCTGTACTGTATAATTATATCAAAATTAATTGTTCAGTTTCTACGTCAAACTTAAAAAATTGATGCAAACGTGTGTAATAGTACAATTTTGTAGATATGGGATCCCTCAATTGAAAAGTTTTCCATTTGTCTGACAAATTATAATGTAAATGAAAACCTAAAGAAATAGTTCACTCACTGTCAAATCAAAATTTATCAGAATTTGATAAACTTAAATATTCACGATGGACGAGAAATTAATTTATATTTCGCACACACCCACACCAGAATTGATTACATTTTTATTCTGCCCTCGAAATTATTGGAAATCATGACAAATCATGGGAAAATTTATGCATTTAAAAATTCAAACCTTGTTGAATTCTTACCAGAGGGGAACTTGCTCTGAATGATGAAGTTGATGAGGGGGCTGTTCCCGTTGAAGTTTTCCAGCCAGGAAATCCCCACCGATCGGCTCCCCACCTCAACCACCCGCAAATTACCAGGCTGCTCCGGAGGGTCTGGAAATAATGATCAGATCAGTTCAAAATTTAGAAATAACATTTTTTTTATTCTCTCGAAGTACATTTCATCTACTCGGAAACATGGTTTTCGAAGAGAATGGAAACAAATTTGTGTTAAAAGAAAGGTTATATTTTTTACTGAATTTTGAAAAATGACATGTTTTTCAAACAATTTTTAAGCGTTGAAAGAACCATAGGACTTCATCTGTTTAATGATTTTAAAAGTATTGCACTTCAAAATTTATATTTCCGGCACGGAATTTTTCCTTGTTTTTGACACAAGTTAAATATTTGGAACAAAAAACTCGGAATTGAATCTTAAACAGACAATTTTTATATTTTTGGAAAATATACCTAGTTGAATTTTTTTTAATATTTTTGGTACGAATTTTACTATAATAATAATAAATATAATATAATAATTTATTCATGACAATTCTTACAAGGCTCATGGCCCATAGAATTACATTTTAAATTACATCGTAAGGAATTAAATAACAAATCAATAATACTACAATGACAATTATTTCCTTGCAAAATTATCCTGGGGGTTCTCGCTTAATAACATTCTACTAAATAAGGTTTGTGTATGTTAAAATACAGATTCTTAAACATTTGCATTATAACAAGAATAAGACAACTTGATTAAAACACAGTGATAGGGTACGAAAAACTCATTTAAAAATTAAAGTCATTGTTTGCAGGATTCAAGCACTAAAATCAAATAGATAACCATCAGACATAATTAAGTATCAAATTTATAAACATATAATAAGAGCATTATTATTCAGAATTCCATCTCAACTAATTAGGTCAATACGAACGAATTCAATTGATCAAATTAAATAACTCAAAGTGGTGGATTACTAAAATCAAACCATTAAATACTACAGCATAATTCATAAACGTAAAAAGTAAACAGTCAGTATTCACTGCTCCATGAACGATAATATTTTCGGGTCAGTTAACTGCAGATCTTCAAAATTAAATTCATAATTCCAAATTAAATTTGCAATATTATTCACAATATCAACCGATTATGCTAATTAGTATGACAATAACTGCAAAAATCAAACCATTAAATACTATACATAGCAAATCTCCATTTTTCAAGTCCTCATAAGAAAATCATAAAACTCCAATTCTGAAATTATCCATTTTCACTAGGCAAGCATCTATTTCCCTCGTCAGTGATTTCATGTTGGCATCCATAATTGAAAGTATGTAGGCTACGCCGTCATCCGAAATTGGCTGGGATAATTTTGAAGTTGGTTTAACGTCTTTGAGATGTGGTCCTTCCAAGTAATGTGTATCGGGTTGATCGTCTTTCTCGGGTTGAATGTCTTTTTCTACCGGGGGCTGTCCACACTTGGCGTGGTCCAATTTCTCTGTCTTCTCCATAGGTTTGGTTTGGGCTGTGACTGAATGGCTGACGTCATGATAGGGTGAAATTATAATTTCTTCCGTGATTTTAGTCCCATTCAAGAACAGGTCGGCGCCTCGGAAGTAGACTTTGTTTTCAATTTTCTTTTGCTCAAGGAATTCTGGTATTTGTCGTCTCTTCTTTGCACGTTCCTCTTTACTTAGGTCCTCCACAATTGAGATTTTGGCAGGGATGGCTTTTAACTTGTGGCAGTTTCTAAACACCATACTTTTTTGCTTGGTTGATGACAATTTCACCAGCACTGATTTACCGTTGGACAACGGACGGACATCTTTAACAGTGACATCCACTTCGAAACAATTGGAAAGAAAATCTGTCGTCTCCTCCATTGCAATTTTGGCAGAATAATATTCACATCCATGAATTATGATGTTGCATTGTCGATCACAATTTGCATTTGGTTTGGTTTCATAACGAAGAATCGTTTCTGCATTCTTCTTCACTTGCTGCTCCAATCCGATAAACTTATTTATGAATCTGTCCAGGTCACTCTTAAAGTTGAACATTTGCTTCTTTATGTGGCTCAATTCTTCTGCGTGATTAACAAAACTACTTGATAAGAACTCGAGTTTCTCTTTCGCTGATTGTGCAAATTCTTGTAGATCGAGTTGCACATTGTCAAGTAACTTCACGTCAAGTAAGAATTTTATGGGCGTTTTTACTTATACTATTCGTTGGGGTCTTATGTACAAGCGAATATTTTTGATTTTCCCCATTTTTCGAAGTGTGATGAATTTACAGCAGAAATTCTTATGTGGGGGTAATCGCGTTGAATTTAGCTTTATAATGATATAACTTTGTAAGTATGGCTTGTACTTTTACGTAGTGAAAAACTCAATTTAATGAGAGCTCAGAATAAACACGTCTGCTCGCTTCAATAACTAAACGAGAACCTACGAATTTTACTATAGTGTTTGATTAATATTTAAATGTAAGCTTGAAAACTCGAACCTGCCACATCTTAATTCATCTTGCCACATTTTCGCTAATTGAACTTTATATTTTAATGATTTTTGACACGGAATATTTCCATATTTCTCGTAAAAGTGAAATTTTGGAAAAAAATAAATCGGGACTGATTTTGTTTCTACTTAAATTTAAAACAGACAATTTTTAAAATTTTTCATGTTCAAAGATCCAACCCAAACGTAATGCTTTTGGATTTAAGCAAATTAAGAAATTTTTTGCCAGAGTTAATTTTATGTAAGCACGATTTAAACATTTATGATATTTTCTCCTATTTTTGAAAATATTTCAGTTGCTGCTTACCTTGCACGTTGAGCGTGACGATGGTATGATCGGACCCGAAAGGGTTGGAAGCTCGGCATGAATAAGCACCAGAATCGCTCCGGTCAACGGAGGCTATCAATAATTCGGATAAGATCCCATCCTCCAACTCTTGCTGGCGAAACGTGTACCTAAAAATAGAACAATTTGGTCAAAAATATTTTTTTTTAATTTTCAGGAAATTCTGGTAATTTTGAATAATTTGAAAATAAATGATTTTGTAATGATTGAATCGGGCCATGCGGTATTTGTAAGGTTGTCCCATAATTTGAAAAAGTATGCAATTTACAAAAGTGTGCAATTTGAAAAAGTATGCAATTTACAAAAGTGTGCAATTTGCAAAAGTCTTGCTATTGTAAGTAAATTGGTCCATTTTTGTTAGACAAATATCAAAATCGGTACTAATATGGCATCAATTTTGTGATTACGTAATTTACATAGGCAATTCACGCTTGGTAGCTTTGTAAAATCCGTAAAATTCATAAACTTACAAACTTCTTCAAATATTTTTGAGGAAGATTGGCTTACACGTTTTTGTACACTTACTCACATCAAGGGCGTCCTTTTATTTAGTAAAACGTATTCAAATTATTTTACAAAATGTAAATGCCTTACAAAGTTTCAAAGAACTGCTTGAATTGCCTCAGGTCAGTATACCAATCTTGGGACCACCTTATTTACAGTGTTAAATTATCGAATTCATAGTTTGCTATTTAAAATACAATTAAATATTGCATTTTTATCGTAAAAGTACAATTTTTGCTAACAATGCGATGATGTGAAGTGTAACCCTCCGATTTGGCTGAAATTTTAAAATTAGGTGGTCCAAGCCAATACAACTAACGTTTCTTCAGGCAGTTTGTGCGATGGTGAGAGTTACTCAAAATATTTGAGGTCAAAGTTCAAAAAACGGCCGACTTTTTTCAGGCGGAGTGAGAAAACTCCACTTCCATTCTCTTCCCCTCGCTTTGATTTTATTCAGGCGTCTCGCTCATGCATACGCCTTCATGCTCAAGCACAAGCTTTGATGCAAACTAATAAAAAATAAACATTATTAATTATAGCTTAAAGAGCAATTAATACGCATTATACATACTTGATTTAATTTATAATTAAATAAGTGAGATTTTTACTTATTTCTAGTACAAATTTACATAAAAGTTAATTTATAAATTCGCCAACGGCAAATAAACATGGAAAAACTTAACTTGCTTTCCATTTCGAAAGCGTTGGTTATTCTAATATCCAATTATATATTAATATTTTAAATGCTCCTGTGATTCGATATTGTTGGTACTCAAGCGGATCATGGGGTGATGACGAAAAGCCCGAGTTTAAAAATGTAAGCGAAGTTTGTTTTAGAGAAAAAAATATTAGTTGCGACCTGAATTGTGGCAATCCCACATTCATCAAATTCAGCTGGTGCAGTTTATCGTATTGTTTTGTGGACTTTTATGAAAATAATCATATAGTCACATGTGGAATGAATAATTAATATTTTTCTATAAAAAATTAAATTTAAAATTGTTGAAATGAATTATTTTTCGGAGTGAAAATCAAAGCGAGGGGAAGAGAATGGAAGTGGAGTTTTCTCACTCCGCCTGAAAAAAGTCGGCCGTTTTTTGAACTTTGACCTCAAATATTTTGAGTAACTCTCACCATCGCACAAACTGCCTGAAGAAACGTTAGTTGTATTGGCTTGGACCACCTAATTTTAAAATTTCAGCCAAATCGGAGGGTTACACTTCACACCATCGCATTGTAAGTAAAATTGGAAATAGATTTTCACCTGTGATTGGAATGTGGCCCAATTTTGCCGTGTTTGTTGCCCCATTCGATCAGAATTGGAAGGTCGCCACCGACTCGGCATCCAAGAATCGCCTTCTCCCCGACGCGCACAGAAATCACGGAGTTTACTGCTTGCTCGTCCGCGTTAAATTTGGCAGGTGCTGAAACATAAACATTTAATTTGTTTAGTTAACATACTATTTTTAAAAGTTAAGATAAAATTGTGCAAACAATTTGAATGCAACAAATATTCTTCTTTAACGTTATACATATATTATTGAGGAAATTCAGAAGTTTAGCAGTCAACTCTGTAAATTTTGTACGTAGTTGTACAAAATTGGAATTTTTATCTTTGCACAAAAATTACTAAAATTCGCGTGACACGTTTGTTAAGTTATATATCAACGACGTTTATCATTTTTATAAATGTTCAAGGATACTTATTAATTTTTACTCAGGTGGATCTGTGTGTCGATAATGTTCACAGTATAGACTTACAGTAAGTCACTTACTTGTTGCAATTGAGGGATATTTATAACTCAATAAGCTTTAAAATTATGCAAATTCTGTAACCCTAAATTCGTTAAGTGTTAAGATCTACTCTAATTTTTTACTAGCAGGGTTATTTTTGGAAGATAAAATAATTTCCCAAAATATCGATATAACCTATTTATTTGAATATGTAGGTTAGATTCCTGTAATTTTTTTTAGAAAATTTCTGTACCCCAACAAATACTAAATCTACTACAACTAATCTCGATTTTTCTCATCAAAGTGAAAGCAAAATATTAATCAAGCCTAAAACCAGTTACTTTTCTGCAAAAAGTGACTGACTTCCAACCAATTCCCACTCAATAAAATATCTCACGGAGAAAGTTCCCAGCTCAATGGCAGATCTAATCCTATCCATAAATCAGACAATCTCGAGACAAGTTTCTAGTTTGGCTACTTTCACTTCGCCACCTTTTTGGCTCACGTCATAAATATAATCTTATCTTCGCCTCATCTCATCTCAGCTCACGATTCGATTCTACACCTTCTTCTACACTCACTTTTTACTTACATTCATCAATATTTACACAGATAGGAAACTTTCTCTGCGAAAAAGAAAACCAAGATTTTCATTTCTTCTTGTTGAACAAAGTTTTTTTCTCCTTTGGCAAAGGTAACAAAGCGGAAGAGCGATATTTTTTTAGCCTGGAAAGACAACTCGAGACAAATACAGGACTCGATTTGCTTTCACTTTGTGCTTTCTCTTTGATTTTACAGGGACATGAGTATCAGTGTCGTGTACATTACGAAAGGATGGACGTAGCTTATCATCAGTGATGAGTAGCCCGGGGGGGTAGCAATAGGTTTTAAGGAGGTAGGGTTTGTGATATGGTGTTTTTTTTTATGCTGGTTTTGCGGCGTTTGATTCAATGAGAAATTGACGCAGTCATTCGTAACTTGTGAAATCCTGAAATTTTGTAAATAAGACGCAATTGATCTGAGCAATCTATCCCAAATCTGGGAGCAGATTTTTCTAAGAAATATTTGTAAAATTTTGTGAAAGCCTGTAATTTTATAGATTTTGTTCAGTTTCGGAGATATGAAAGTTTTTCCGTGGATATTAAAACTTCAGCGTTGGTCAAATCTGTATGAAATATGTGCGTGCATACGCTTTGCACCTAATAGGTTCAACAATTATATTCCATATTCGTATATTACTGTGCGGGTTGAACGTCAAAGTAAAAAAAAATTGTGCGAAATATTTAATAAATTACGTTGATAGATTTGGATTTAAACTTCTAATCTTCAAATTTTGCTGGTACAAACTACTTATGAATGCTTGAATTGCATCTTATCTATCGTGCTTTTTATGTTTTTCTTTAAATTTTGGTACAGAAATTTCTCACAGAAGTTTTATATAATTTTATTTATGTAGCAACTTTTTGAATATGTGTTTAAAAAAATAAATGGCAAAATAAATAATCTCCAACAGATTTTCACTTTAAAACCAAAGCAAAACGAAAAAATACCATGTCCGGAACCCTGTTTGTGCATAAGCACTAGTATGAAAGTCGACCCTCTCATCCATCCACGTAAGGCGATAACAGTAAAACATTTACACCGAAAGTTGTCCAAGAAAGCAGGTGACTTCTTCTCCCAGTCCCACTTTTACTCAAATATTGACAACCTCCCCACTCAGAGATAAGCTGCTAAATAGATAACAGCCAAAGTTTGTATCCACAACAACTTCTTTCTCCTACTCCTCTTTAGACTTAGTTGGGGCGGGTAACCTAAAACCTAACCACAAAACCCGGGTAAAATGTTTCCTTAATCAAGACACAGCCGAAAGAAGTAGAGAAGAACAAGAAATGCATCTCTTGTGTAAATTTGTTCACTCGAAAACTTTGCTCACTTTAAAGTCGAGTCAGTTGTAGAGTTGTACTTGGACTGATGTCCACACTCTTAGAAAACTGGTATTAAATCATTACTGACCAGAATACGTGTATATGATTTCACCGGCACTGGTAATTACCGTTTAGAATTGAAAACTTTACCATTCAGAAACACACTACTACCAATCGGGTAGGAAGTTATTACTAAATCAATACCAGGACGGAATATATCCAGATTTTAAACAGTGCACGGAATTTACAATACGTCCGATTGGCCTGCTAACAAATTACATTAAGGCAAAATACCCAAAATATAGGGCAAATATTTTCATGTAATTTTCTAATATTGTTAAATTCCGCACCATTCACTACAGCAGCACCTAAATTGCATTTTAAAATTTCTGATAAGATTTTATTACTATCTTATTTTGGGTCCAGGTAATAAATGATTAAAATTCACTGCTGCCATCACTGAAAAATTGCATTTATTTAATTTTATGCCCTGGCCATCCTCCAACTCTACTCACTCGCTGTTATGCAACCCCCCTAAATATCTGGACTGACCATTAACCGTACAGATCAACTACAATTTCATTACATTCAGCTCTCCTCAAGTGCCAAACTTTCCTCTGAAGAAAAGAAAGTCTTTAACAAAACAAACTTTCCCAGGCAAGAAAATAGCTTCAGTTGTTTAAAGGAGAAAATGGGAATGAAATGAAAGTCAGATTTCTGAGGAGAAGGAGAAAATAAGTGAAAGTGATTCTTTTTCCACTTTCGCTTTTTTAAACTAAATAAAAAGAAATGCAACAAAATTAAAAAAGAGAAATGGGAAATTACAAAAAAGTGTGAAATTTAAACAAAGAAGTGGGAAATTTTGGGAAAAAAGACAAATTTTAAAAAAACGAAGTGGGTAATTCTAAAAACAAACCAAGTTGGAAATTAAAAAAAGCTCTTTTGGATCCATTTCCAAAAAATAAAAATAAAAAAGAAGTGAAAAATATAAAAAAAGAGAGCTTTCTTTGAAACGACTCTACACACATCTTCATAAATTCCAAGATAAGTCATTGTTTTTAACGACGCTTATCTGCAAGCATAAGTAAACTTTCTGCTTCATTGTTCCCAGATTAGAAGGACCACACACGCACTCCAACCTCTCTTGGGATTAGACTTTCTCATACTTTTGGTCTTAACTTTCACTTTCACTCGCTCCACTCTGCCCAACTTTCTCTTTCTTTATGCCGTCATCTAATTAATCCTGGTAATTAATTAATTAGAGACAGACTTGTTTCCGGGTTGTGCACTTTCTCCGACCCGGGAGAAGAAGAAAGTGAAAGCAGGGACAGGGGGCAGCCAGCAGGTTATGTTTTGTCATTGTCGCATTATGCAAATTAGGGTAAACATGACACTCGAAAGTAAAGTAGACAAGATTTCGCAACCCACTAACCGTTAACTTTGAGGAAGATGACTTTGGAGAGGCCGGAGCCCACGTCGTTTCTCGCCTCGCACAGATAATTCCCCTCGTCCGATTTTCGGACTTGGTCGAATCTGATGGTGCCGTTGGCGAAGGGGGACGAGCTTCCGGTGGGAGAAAGGATGTACTTGTAGTCGCCCGGCTGCATGCCTGCTGAAGCGGAGATAAGAAAATGAGTTATTTATTGAGAGAAAGATGGGAACAAGGAAAAATGTTTACAAATTTAGTAATGTTTGGTCAAATATGTTTTTATAGTACTCAATACGATAGGTGACTAAACTGGTAACAAAAGATTTAGATTACCAATGTATTAACCAACACCACAAATTACAGTAGTACAGTAAAATTGGTAACATACTCAAACTGACAAATTCAAGTTGGTAATAAACCAAAAGTAAACTTTCTAAAATATTTTTGGTAATTTGGGTTGGTACATTAAAAAATTTTTTACCAATAAAAGGGTGACCAAATTGGTGAGCATTACCCATTGGTAACACAAAACAAATAAATTAGCAACACAATTGGTAATAATAATTATCAAATTAGAATAGATGCATAAATAAAAACTGTTATTGGTAAACAAATTGGTAACGACATTTTTTACCACTAAAACAGACTGGCGGGTAGCGAAAATTTTGAAAAATTTCCACGACTCTCTTAATGAATACCGTACCAGTGGCCCTTTTCCACGTGATTGAGGGGGTGGGATGGCCCTCGGCACGGCACTGAAGTGAAAACGAGTGTCCCGCCGATACGTTGACGTCTCTCGGCTCCAAAATCCATTTCGGTGGAACTGCAAAATTATCCACCATTAATGATCGCTTATTTACACTTTATTTACACATTTTCGGATAGTGCGGGGTCATAGCAGAACACAGAATTAGGGTCAACTTACTTAATTATCATGGCATGGATCATCTTTATGATATTACTACTTTATGCATAATGTCCCTGTTGTTTGCAGAGCGTAAAATATTTGTATATACAAGGGTTTTTGCATGCTAAATAGTTTTTGGAATTTAGCCCAAATTCTGCATTCTGCAAATGCTACATCCTTTACGCAAATTTTATAATTATTCATAACTTGAAACATTTTTATATTTATAACGAGCTTCGAAATTCTGCATTATTTATACAAAAACAATACAGAATGTCTCAAAATTTTCGCAAACTTTTTCTGCAAGTTGGTATTACGCAGTTTGAAACATTCGTTATTTCTAACATTTTAAACATTTTTTGCAAAATTCTTTCCCATTTCCAAAAACTAGTTTTGAAATCATTCGTTATTTCTAACATTTTAAACATTTTTTGCAAAATTCTTTCCCATTTCCAAAAACTAGTTTTGAAATCATAATGTGAAATAATATAATATTATGCAATTATCCTATTTTTTCAACATCTGTGTGTGAAATTCTTTCCCATTTTCGCAAATTAGTTTTTCAATCATGCTGCATTATGCAATTCCCCCTACCTTTTCCAATTTTCTGCATTCATAATTTTTCGCATGGTTTCGCAAACTATGCAAAAACTCATTAACAACCTTCAACCCTCCTCCAACTTTTCCCTCAGAAAACTAGGCCGACTTTCACTTACTGACTTTCTTGACCCGACGTTCCTTAAAATTTGACCACGAGCTGAAACTTCATTTTCCATCGAGATGAACTTTCTCCGTCCGCTGGCCACAAGGAGACAAAGACGGATAGGAAATCGAACCGGCTGGGTTTGCGGGGCTGTGGCCGCGGAAGCGTGGGGACAGAGGAACAATGTCCCCATCATCTGCCCATGATATACAAACCCTTCCCTCCCCTATCTCGCAATGTTACAGTGCCCACGACTTCCGCGGCCACTGTTGTGGGGAGGAAGTTGAGTCGCTATTACGCCGCTTAGTGAGACATGAAGTTGGCATTTTTCCCCTCGAAAGTGAACGCGTGTCATTAATCTTCTCCCAGAAAAACCAATCTCATCTCCCAATCCACTCCACAAACGCATCGCTTGACTCGCTGCCCCCATCTCCCACCCAGCCGGACAGCGGAATGCGGCAGGGTTTGCAAAAAATATGGGGCAAATTTTCCGTGAGTAAAACCGTTTTTAATTTGCTACTTTCAAGTATTGCAGAATAAAAATGAATATTTTTTGTCAAATTTGTATGCTGATTACATAAGAAATACAAATTTACAGACTTTTTAAATCACATTTTGAAGGTCTTGGGAATAAACAATGCTTACCAAAAACAAAAATTATAAAAATGAAGAAAATCACAAAAATTATAGAAGTACCAAGAAATAAAAAAAATGCAATTCACACAGCGTTTCGTACCTTTGCAAAATCCGAATGTTTTGTAAACTAATTTTACAAGCTTCTGCATGGAGGAGCAACTTTCTAAAGTAATTTCCTTAGAATTTGTGAAAGTTTGTAAAAGAATTTACAGAATTTACAGATTATAAAAATCTCCCAAGGACTTCGTTAATTGCCTCTTTGCAAACTGTGGCCTACATATTTATTCACAAAATAATTCTAAATTTAATATAAAGTTGTTTAAAATTTAAATTTTCATAAAATTGCATTATTTAATTTAACTTACTGACGTCGAAACATTCTCGAAGCCTTTTGTATATACTTTAAAAATATCAATCCTTAAATGCATATACAAAATTATCAAAAAAAGGGATACATATGATACGGTTTATATAACTCTACGGTTTACAATTTTTATAAAACTACACATATAATATAAGACCGTCGTACCTACATTTTTGGAACCGAGTTACCTGTTTGTTTAGATAATTCCTCAAATTTTAAAAATTTTACAATCGTCGTCCAGCTTAATTTTCAGAAATCACAGAAATGCAAGGAAAAAGTATAAAAACAACAAAATTAGCAAATTACAAAAAAATAAAAATTTTCAAAATTAGAAATGTTATTAAACGTCCAAAATTTTAAAAACAAAAAAACGCAAATTCGAAATGACAAAAACAACTCACTAAACTCATTAAAATTTCAGCAAACTTAAACAAATTTACTCCCCAAACAGTGTGGGCCACGCTCCTCCCAATCACGGGAACCCTGTGTCACTCAAGTGGTCAATCTTGCCCTCTTTCGGAGTCCTGCTTTCTCCCTGCTTTCTCCGACTTCCTCATTTCTCTCCCTCTTCCCTTCCCTCATCTCTCCCGATACCCGGGGAACGCACTTTTCAAACCCGAAAATACATTATGGCATTTGGCAGAGGAAATAATGGGACGATTAATTCCCTCTTCGGCTTCATCCCACAGCCACCAACGCGACCACGTCGTAAGAGATTCGCGGCCAGAAAACCATCCATCCGTCCATCCAACCACCAATTCTTTCCCCTTTTAACGAGATAAAGAAGTCCCGGAAGCACGATTTAGCGCGACGTAACACATTTTTTACCTATTTATTACCCACATCAGACATGCTTCGTGACGAGGAGGAATTTTTTTCGGGTGAAAGTGCCATTATCGGAAATTATTCAGACAGAATTCAAAATGCGTAATTTTATAGGATGAGGTAGTACAGATGTTGAAATTATGCCAAATTTGGTGCGGTTTTTTGGGGATAAATTAAATTGATTGGTAATTGTGTGCGGGAATGTTTGTAAACTGTGCAAATTTTGTAACATTTGGAAAAAAAACATATAAACGCCGATTTGGTGGATCACAGTGGATCATTAACGATTTTGCCACTGCATTTGGCGATAATTTTGGTACCAACTTACATATGTCCGAAACGGTGGAACTGATCACAAAACCTACAGGATTATAACTTTGGCATTATAAATTTCTACAGAAATTGCAAACGACGCGTCGTTGTGCTTTGTAAAATTTTAGTGCGGTGTTAGTTCGTAACTTTTACTACTTTTTTTACCGGTATCAATCAACCAAAGAACATTTCTTTAATAATACAACTTAAAATTTGATCAAAATTAGTATAAATTTGTGTACTCACTTTGTACAGTAAGCTCGGAAGAATAGTGTTCACGTCCCGCTGAATTTTCCGCGATGCAAGTATATTTCCCTAAATGGGGAAATTTAAAAATGAGTTTTCTTACCCAAAATTTAATAATTAATTAACCAATTAAATGAATTCATGTCACGGACCGTTATGCACCGAAGAAAGCGAGTCGATCACCAATGTTGAGGAATACTCGTCCGGAACTCGAATCATAATGCCCTGTGAGATTAGATGCAAATTAATTTAAAGTTATTACAATACAAGAGTTATAGACTGATAGACAACAAGATTTGTCAAGGTTGAAAGTTGATTTAGGATCATGTGACATTTATTAGTATTTTTTAGATCGGATTTACGTGCCACATGTTTGAAAGTTAGATAATGTATTATGTTTTCAGCTACGAGGTTCTTCAAATCTTCAGCGACTCACAACTTCGTCGCAAGATGCGTATTCGAATATTTCAAAGATATCTCTCGGAACCGAAAATTTGTCATATTTCAAATCGATCTTTTGAAAAATCCCGAAATCAGTATAAAAAATAGTCGTTGAGTTACACGTTCAGACAATTTCATTTCGTCGTTTAAAGCACAAAAGCAGTATCAAATTCACTTTGATAAAAAATTCTTAAATTGACATAAATTTCACACGTTCCAATTTGCTCCTTGAAAATAAGTTGGCTAAATAGAATTTCAAATATGAAATGATACCTAATTTTTTTGAATTTTGCATTAATTTTTCACAAATTCCTTCCAACTCATATTCGCACTTCTAAATTTTTCAGATTTTGTATGACTTTTGGTTCCACAAATTTTTGAACTCACATGTGTCACTCCTCCCGAGATTGGTTTCCCGTCGAATTCCCAAACGAGATCGATGGGTCGATCGCCCTCGAGCAGTTGGCAGGACACCGCCGCCCGCATCCCTTCCCGCAAAACCGTGTTCAAGAACTGGAACGGCATCAGCTTCGGCGGAACTGAAGACACAGATTTGGTTCGGATGTAAATCCAACCGTGATCATCACCAATTTCGTGGAAGACGAAATTTTATGAGCCAATTTGTATCATGAAAAATTTATGTCGTATACTCTAAGAAACCCGGTAACTAAGTTATTACCAGGCGGAGTATCTATGTGACTCTACCGCATGGTAAGTAATTTATTATTGGGTGGTAGAAAATTAGTTACCGACTGGTAATATTTTCAAATTTCGCGACCGGGGTTATTACCGGTTTGGTAACAAAATGTCTACCACTCGATAATAAATAAATTACCATGCGGTAGAGTCACATAGATACTCCGCCTGGTAATAACTTAGTTACCGGGTTTCTTAGAGTGTAGTAAAATTTATGGGATAAATGAAACCATGTGAAATATTTGAGTGGCTTGGGGCTGATCAAATTTTGTCACAAATTGGCCATCAAAAAGATATCATGTCTAAATTTAGGAGAAGAAGGTTTGATGAAATTCGGCCGTTTAATAAAGTTAAACTTTTTGCAAGTAAAATTTGCGTATCGTATCAATTAAAACACAGTAGAACTTTGTAAAATCCGTAAAATCTGTAAACTTACAAACCTTACAAATATTTCTGAGGAAAATTAGCTACCAAAATTTTGTAAGTTTACTCAAAACAAGTGCGTCTTTTTATTTTGAAACATTTGCAACCTAATATCACAAAATCTACGGATTTTATAAAGTTGCCAAGGACTGCGTGAATTGCTTCAGCTTGTGAAGGTGTTCTGATCTACACTCTTAGAAACTTGGTATTGAAAAAAACCTAACGGTATTAATACGTGACTCGACCGCCTTGGTATTAAACGGTTATACCATATTGGTAATGAACCGGTATTGAAATTATACCTCATGGTAATAATTTCAATACTAATTGGTATTAATTTTTTTACCACGTAGTATTAATTTAATACCACGCGGTAGAGTCACGTATCAATACCAACGGTTATTGATTTCTTTAAGAGTGTAGGTTGTAAAATAGGATTTTTTTTTATTAAAATTGTGAAAATCGAAATTGTGGATAAAATTAAAGCATTTTTCAAATTTTATGGTCCAATCCTGCATAAAAGCTCGTTTCGTAGTCAAACGTTAGTTCACCATAACTGATCTTAAATTGACTACAAGAAACTAAATTTTCAAAAAAAATTCAATGTGGCATTAAAATTTATCAGACACAAAATTTTTCACTCCTATGTTTGTTGACCGGTAAATTCTGGAAATTTTATAAAATTAGGAGACACAAGTTAACAAAAAAATGTACTCTGATGTTTCTATTAATCCAAGCACATATTTGTCTAAATTTTTACAGAATTTACAAAAATTCAAACGAATTGATTTTGCGTAATGAGTAATTTACGTAACTACTAATATTTAATAAATTAGGCGAAACTAACCGACAACACGAAGGTGAATGTCTCTGGAGGAAATTTGTCCTTGTCTGCCCTTCGCGTGGCAGGTGAGAATCCCTTCGTCCGTTTTCTGAAGGTGCTCCAAAATTAGGGTGCCGTTAGGGTAGACGCGCTGCATTCTCGTCACCGGGAGAAGACTCCCGCCTAAAATAAGCGCAAAAAAGTTAAATAATGCGCGGGTATTCACTCCGGGTTCACGTTTTAAAATTAGACAAACGTTAGTCGTGCTTCGTTTCTTGTGGGTACATTTCTTGAATTCTGAAGCAAGAAACGCAAGAAATGCAGGGTGGAAATTAACAAAAAATTCTTTAAAGATATAAGTATCGCAAACACGCAACAGATCCTGGGTGATACCCTCAAAAATTATTTTAGACGTCGATAACGTTGAGGATAAAGCTAGACTTGTCTGTTAACCGGATTATTTTATTAATTATCAGTTACCTCTCTCCCAAGAAATGCTTTCTATCGGATATCCTGAGACAGGGCACTGGATTTGCAAATTCTTCCCAGCCACACCCTTTATCGGAGGAACCGGTCGGACAAAAGGTGGACCTGAAAAAGCAAGCATGGAATAAAAAAAACATTACAAATTTAGTAAAACTTTGAATCTTTGAATCACGCACAATTGCCGACAAGTTTGATTTTGGCGGCAAATAATCGTTACGAACGCCGTGATACCTTGTTTCGTTACAAATTTAGATAATAATTCCCTTAAATGTCCCATTATTTAAGGAAAACTACTTTCTTCCCAAAAATAACACCACATTTTCATAACCACAAAATTACTCCTATTTTTTATTACTTTCTCCTCGATCGGGATAAAAAGTAAATTGAGTGATGCAATAAAATAAACTGGTTTACCCACAAATGAGATAAATCGCCTGAAAAAAGACGCGTTACGGACACAAGTAACATAATACATGGGGAAAGTTGAAGTTGAGGAAACATTTAATGAAATGCGACACAAGAAGAGAAAAGAAAGTCAAAGTCGAGTTGTCAACTTTCTCCGGGTTTCTTTTCCCTGGTCCCACACACTAAATAAATCTGGGACAGAAGTTTGAATTTTGCTGTAAACAAATTATAACCACGCTGGTTACATGATAAAATTGCCAGAATACCGGGTATTTAATTTTCTGTGTAAACAAATGCTGCCAGTAAACTTCTGATTATTTTGTCTCGATTATTTCAACGAACTTTACATACACTTCATACTGGCCTAGTTTTTCAGACTATTAAGAGTGCCCGAAACTGATCCAGCTTATTTAAATGGACAATAAATCATTTCTGGAAACCTTTCTCTTTCCACTTTCTCCTCGAAAATGCACTAAATCCACTCGAACAAGGAGTACTTTTCCTAAGAAGGGACATTATTTTACTGCTCACACTTTCTCTTCCGGGACAAAGTACGGACTTTCTCCCACGACACGAGTTTCCAGTGAAACTGAACAAGAGGGTCAACTGCCACTTTTATTGCGAGCACTTCCCCCGACTTTATTTTACACTAAATGTCATAAAAAATATGATAAATTGGAGATGATGCGGTCTGATTTGTGTTCATGTGGGGAAAAGATTTCGCTACGAGGTTACATAGTTCTTGTACGCGATAAAAATAAAATATGCAAATTTTACAAGGTTTTTTATGGGGTGATGTTAAGGGGAGAATGATGTGTTTTTTGGGGGGGAGGGGGGAGATATTTAAAATTGAACGTAGCTTGAGGGATGCATGACATTTTAAATGAGTATGAAATGAGTTTGAGACAAAATAAACTTTGATAATTTTTTTAAAGTTTTGGTAAATTCTGATAAATTCTGATTTTGACCTGATTTTGAAGAGCGTTTGTATGAAAATTAGTAGGAATAAAGGAGATTTTGAAGGAGTAAAATTTTGGTACTTTTTGCAAATTTTCAATATCTGAATGGATTTTGTAAACTTGCACATAGTCCACGTCATATTTTTTGGTTTCATACAATAATACTTATAATTGGATTTTTTTCCTAGATTTTTTTCAGATGTAGGTTAAGATTTGGAGACGAGTGATTTGTGCAACTTTAACTTTACAAAACCTCACTTCACAAATAACGATTCTTCAAAACTGTTGATGGAATTTACCGGGTTGCAAAGTTGTTGCGAAACATGCGAGTGAATTGCGATAATTAAGCAAAGGACATGAAAGATTACCGAAATTAGGTTAATTAGTAGCACTTTAATACATTTTTACATCACGTTTTTCAACTTTTTACAAAGTTACAAAGATATGTAGTCTTAATTTATTTCCTTGATTTTTATGCAGATTAGAAGTCTTGCAGATTAGTCATGCAGGTTAGAAGTTTTACCGTAAATGTTGAGTCTTCCAGTGTGGAGGGCGATGCCCATGGCGTTTCTGGCCTGGCACGCGTACAGCCCGCCGTCCTCGTCCCGCGCCTGCGTTATGTTCACGTGGGAGATCACATTGTCATGAATCGTGACGTACTGGCCGACCAGAAATCTGTAAGAAAGTGGCCAAAAAATAATCACAACTTTCAAAAAATTACGAAAATGTGCGAAAATGTCGGGTGAAATCTAAAGTTGCAAATCTGTATCAAGCTTTGGAGGAAAAATTCTTCAGAAATTTTGAAACCCATAAAATTAGTTCTTACAAAAAATGGAAGATTCGAAATTTTATGAAAAGCTATGAAATTATCAGAACTTTAGAAGTTTATGTAAATGTCAGGAGCTGTAGGTGAGATACGATCTACAAATGATTTATACAAATTAAATACATTTTTCGCAAACCTAATGTGGCGTTAAATCCATACATAATTTTCTAACAGTAAACAATAAACTCCATTTCAAGCTACTTGAGTTCCCCGCCTTGAGTACATTAGCCGAATGAACCGAATTATTCTATTATTTTATACTTGTTATTTTTATTTTGGCGTTTAAATTATTCAATTTTGTATGATTTCGTATGATTTAAACGCCAAAATAAAAATAACAAGTATAAAATAATAGAATAATTCGGTTTATTCGGTTCATTCGGTTCATTCGGTTCATTCGGTTCATTGGGCTAATGTACTCAAGGCGGGGAACTCAAGTAACTTGAAACGGAGTTTAACATTGCTGACTTGCTTTTAGAACGGGTGAGGATTGTAAAGTTTATAATGAATGCAAAATTTCTCAATATTGAGGAAATACACACAGGCCTTGGTAACTTTGTAAAATCCGCAAATATTCAAAGGAAAATTACTAATAGTTCACAAGTTCTGTAAACTTACTCACAATGCGATGATGTCAAATGTAACCCTCCGATTTGGTTGAAATTTCGAAATTATTTGGTCCATGTCAATACAATCAACGTTTCTTGAGGCAGTTTGTGCGCTGATCAGAATTTGGAAAAATATTTGAGGTCAAAGTTGAAAAACGGGTGATTTTCCGCACGCGGAGGAAGCAAACTCAACTTTCATTCTATTTCCGTGCTAAAATTCGCATATTTTTAAACTTTGCCCTCAAATATTTTGCCAAATTCTGACCATCGCACAAACTGCCTCAAGAAACGTTGATTGTATTGACATGGACCACATAATTTCAAAATTTCAATCAAATCGAAGGGTTACACGTCACCATCGCATTGTCAGATCAAGGGCGTCTTTTTACTTGGGAAACATTTGTAAAATAATTTTACACCATTTACGGATTTTACAAAGTTATCAATGACTACGTGATGTGAATTGGCTCATTATGTCGAGTTGAACTTATTAAAATACGGATTGTTTACTAAAATTGTGACTGCGAACACTCTGGAGAGATAAATCTGAAATTAAATACTGGATAGATTAAATTTCCGAACAAAATTCTATGTGGCCTGAAAATTTGTCAGTCACACAATTTTTCGCTCGTATTTTTGTAAATTGTGGAAATTTTGTAAAATCGGGAGACACAAGTTACGAATTGCCTCATTGGAACTAATTTTCAATTATACACAAGATAATTTTTTTACGTGATTATCAAACTCTACAAAATTATGAAAACTTGGACAGTTTTCCAAAAAGTTATAATGAAACAATTTATGCAGTTCTTGGTAACTTTATAAAATGCGTAAATTTTGTGACACGATTTTATACACTTTCGGAAAATTAAGAGACACCCTTGATCTGAATAAGTTTAGAAAAATTGGCAAGCTAATTTTTCGTCGAAATATTTGTAAATTTTTTGTAAAAGTAACAGATTTTACAAATTTACCAAGCAATCCACAAAATATAAATTTCATCCAAGTTTTTACACAAACTACAAATTTTTGCTTTCTCGACCCACCTTTCACTTTCTGGAAGTGCGAAGCCGTCCAAAGTCCATGTGAATTGCGGGGGTGGATTTCCGACGGCGGTGCATTTCAGCGACACGGAGGGACCCGGCTGGATAGTTTGTTCTGAAAAGCGATACACCAGCTCGGGCAGGACGGCTGGGAAAAAGTGAAAATAAAATTAAGACGAACTTTTTATTTAATAAAATTATAAATAACAATTGTAGAGTTTCAAGATTCATTCAAAAAATAGAGAGACAAAGTCTGAGAGGTTATTTGGCAGCTTTTGTTAAATGTTTAAAAAAAATCAGAAACATTTATGAGCCTTTCTCGTAATATTTTTGGACGAACAGTACGCAGTAATTTTGAGAAATTTGAGAGATTATACATAAATTCACGCAGGAATTTCACGTGTATGTTTGCAATTCTATAAGCTTTGTCAATTTTCGATTGTTTATCCTTAATCGAGGCAAAATTAAGGCAAAAACCTATAGTGACGTGTGAAATCTATAAATCAAAGGGGTCTCTAAATTTGTAATTTTTTTAAAAATTGACTTCACACATTAGATCTCAAAGATGCAAAAAATCTGTTATATATAAAAGGCACAAAACTAACGAAATAAATAAAACCCGACGTGTAACATGTGCAAAATTATAATTATAGAATTAATCCTACGTAACAAAGAGTGCGAATTTTTCTTTGGTGGCAATACGCGAGTTTACAGTTTGCCTCATCATAAATAAATATACACGTGAATCGCTTGAAAATCACCTCAAAAAACTTCTCATGTACGAAATCGAAATTTTAAAAACTTTCGATCTTCAATTTACATCAAATAAATTAGTAGAAATATCTGAATTATTTGTTTAAAAAAATCAAAATTGAGCATTATCCTTACATCCTAATCGTATCTGGGAGGAGTCCTGCCCCGTCGTGAAGTCATTGGAGGCGAGGCACTGGTACATCCCCGCGTCGTCGGGCTGAACGCGTACCAATTTCAGGACTTCGCGCGGCCCCACTTCGAATCTGGGGGAGGAGCTGGGCCCGTTTTCCAGCTCGGCGAGGGGCACGCCGTCCTTGAGCCAGACGAGGGAATAGATCGGCGAACCGGAAACGAGACATCGGAGCGAAGTGGATCGCCCCACGTCCACAATTTGCGTCGGCGGAGACACTTGCACGCGGAGGGGAACTGCAAAAAAAAATTCGTAATTTGTTAGAAAATTGGTGTCAAGAATTATATAGCATTTTTTCAAATTATGTTCGAAAATTTAAAACTTCCATTATGCGATAAGTTAAACTTGTATTGTATGTAATAAGGATTTATTATTGGTAAAATTTGCAAATTTTTAAATTTTATAAAGTTGATACAACCGTGCCAGAAATGTGCGAATTGACAACGAGAATGGTTTGCTTTAAAGTTTTTGAAAAATTTGTATAGTCTGAAGGCCTCAAATTTAATTTTTTTGAGTAATGGTTTATTCACAATTTGTGTAGATTCGATAAGCCCGGGGTGAAATTTGCCTTAAAAGAGAAGAAAAGTGTAACAATTTTCAACTCTATGGCGCATAGAGTTGAAAATTTTTACGCTTTTCAAGCTTAGCAATTGCAAATATATCTGCCCAGTCTGAGAATTGCGAGATCGTGCCGCTTGCAAAGTTTAACCTAATTCAATTTGGGATCGATTGACCCTAATTTGCTCAAAATCGGACAGCATATGCTGGGAGACCCCCGTTGTGTGTAAAATGTACCATTTTATGTCTCACTTTTCCCCTCGTATATGCACCATAACAAGTCGGGCAATAATAAAGTCATAAATTAGGCTAGCAAACACCAACACCTCGTAAACTGCTCCTCGTCACCCACTTGACGACTTTCTCGCCTTGTGAAAGGACTTTCACTTTGGACAGGACAGCGAACACGTAAATCCATCAATCAGTCCATTCAGCCAGGCATTCATTCAGCAATGGGGAAAGTCGTGTCGTTCAAGGGAAACCTTGCAGTACAGGTTCGCGTAGCCCGACCCTCATAAAATATGTATTCTTAAATTGGTAAGAAAATTGAACTTGGTTACCAAAAAGCCATTACTAGTTACCCTTTCAAACTTTTGAAAAACAGTAAAAACGGCTTCAAAATCAAAACTAACAGATGAAAAGACAGACAATTATGTTGGCTGCACTAGGCCAATCTCGGCCTAAAGGAAGAAAGTGGAATATGTCTTTAAAATTTTGGAAAATATAACAATGAAAACGCCGTTTTCAACAACCCGTCGAATTGATACTAACCGATGCAGACAGACAATCACGTCGGTTACATGAGGTCTATCTCCACCCAAACGGAGAAAGTGAAAGGGAGTTCATTTCATTTTGGTGTAAATACGGCACCCTCGGGTCTACTTTCACTTCATCTCGAAACAAATTTATTTCTATAACAAAACCATTTCTGTCCTGTCCCACTTTCACTTTGACTTTCTCTCCCGCTTCAAATCCCTCTTCGACTCGGATTGATTCCTCCTTTGACTCATTTCACTTACGAGTCGAGAAAGGCATTTGTTAAGCTTTTTTTGTTAAGATTGTGTAATGGATGGGATTTTGTGATTGTGAAGTTTGTCGAAATTAGCATTTTTTGGTAGGATTTTTTTGCGCCTGAATTTATTAGCGAAATCAAAATTCTGAAAAAATTGTATATAACTTGAATAATTTTTCACATTTTAGAAATTTGCTCAAAACTGCAAACAATTTATACTTGGATCGTTTCACAAAATTCAGAAAAACAAAAATGAATTAACAAATTTACTTTCCCCGCTAAGAAAAGTGGCAAAAATTAACCATAGAAAAATAAAGTCCCGCTCCACTTTCACTTTGACTTTCTCTCTGACTTCGAATCACACTTCGGCTGGGATTGATTCCTCCTTTGACTCATTTCACTTACGAGTCGAAAAAGACATTTGTTAAGCTTTTTTGTTAAAATTGTGTAATGGATGGATGTTGTGATTGTGAAGTTTCACGAAAGTATGAGTTTTTTGCGAGGATTTTTTTTTGTATTTGAATTTGTTAGCGAAGTAATGATCAGAAATTTTGAAGAAATCGTACATAACTTGTGTAATTGTCAAACTTTTAGAAATTTGCTCAAAAATGCGGCAAATTTGGAGTTATAAAATTTTATAAATTTCATTGAAAAAAATTTCGTCAACCGATTCACTTTCTTTTGGGAAGAAAATGTAAAAGTTGCAAAATTAACTGTACCAAAAACATTTTGCTATGATGACGAATTAAAAGCGTAATAATTACTTGAATTTATTGGCATATTGTTGCCGCTTATATTACTCCATTTACTCAAAGTATTTAAGATAGATATATACAATGAAATAGTGTTTTTTCGGCTTCCAACGATTTTCAAGTTATATAGCTTAAAATTTGCGTAAAAATGAGTAGATCAAAAATCCGTAATAAAATAGGGGTGGCCCACGGGCAGTTTTCGAGATATATGCAAAAATGTGCGAATTTTTTGCAAATTTTGGATTTTGACCCAAACTCGTCCAAATTTTGGTCAAATATCACCGGAAACAATTTTAAAAATTATTTTGTACCAGAATTTGGCCGCTGCCTTCATTTCGGACCCAAATTTTCCAATAGAACTTTTCAAAATAATTGCATTTTCCATATTAGTATTCCACGATCGAATTATTGAATGTTGGTTTGCATGTTAAGGTAAACCATAGGTCTAAGAATGGAGCTAAAGCTTTAAATAGGATCCTTAACTTATTCCGAAATTTTTATACGAACTAGTAATGTTGTTACTAATTCGAAATTATGTAAATATGTACGTAACTCTTCGACGTTTGTAATTGTGGCCTTACACAAATTTGGAGACCGCAGTTACAACTCACTTGACAAAAAAATTTGAACGAAATCTAAATTATAATATGAATAATGAGTTTCTGTTTATCATTATAACGGATTCATGATACGTCCTGTTGCCAATTCGGAATTTTAAAATTAATGCAAAGTTTTGTTAACCACTCGGAATGTTGTTAACGCCGCGTCGACTTGTTTATTTTGCAATTAAATTTTCTTGAAATGTATGAAATATTTAAAATGATTACAGATTTTTTTCAATTAGTTAATACTTTACAAAATATTTCGTATTTTAGAAAGTCGAGAAATATTGATAAAAGAAACAAGAAATATTATCAAGTTTTTAGTAATGCATTATCAATTCAAAAATACGAAAATAAATAAATAACCAAAAACACTTAACCTATCTTTTGATCTAATCTGATACGTAATTTCCACAAACTTTGGTTAACAACGTGTGTAACTTCGAGTTAAAAAATAACTTCTAAATCTCAAATTTGTTTACAAGATTTGAAATTGTAAATTTTTTGAAAACTTATATATCTAACTCGATAATTATTATTCAAAAGTTTGCAAAATTTACGGTACTTACCTATATATGTGCGTTAAATTTTGATTTGTGATAATTGCAAAATATGAAGTTCTCCCTTTAAGCCATTTTCTACTACTTGGAAGTGATTATTCAGTGTGTAATTAATTTATTTGCACACTAATTGGATTGGTATGGGCGGGCAAAAGTTGAAATTTTATCCGTTTTTAGCGAATGTATGTATCTGAATTATAAAAAAAATTGCAAACTAATTTGCAAAAATGTGTTCCGTTTGCAAACTTATCAATGCGTTTTTGTTCCATTGGAAACTACCCACTATTTATATAAAAGTTTACAAAATTTAAAGTAGTTACTTCAGAGAACTTTTGTGCTACGTGTGATATACGTTTTTTTATCAGTTTGATTTGCTTACCATAAACGACTAGCTGAGTGAGAGCTTGGTCAACGGAGTGGGAATTGTTAGCGCGGCAGAGGTAGGAGCCCGCGTCCTGGGGCCGCACTTGCGCCACGTGGACCACGCTATTCTGCGGCGAGGAAGACGGTGACGAAGACGGCGGCCTTTTCGACGTGGGAGGAAGGTCGGATAAAACACCATCAATTTCTCGATACCACCTGAAATTCAGTAAGAAATACGAGAAACTTAAATTTGTTTTTATTCGAGAATAAGATTGTATAGAAGTCATTAGATCAAAAATTTTAAAATTAAAAAAAATTAAAACAAATCAAAAAAAATTTAAAAAATCATTCGACAGAATTTCATAAAGGTATAAAGGAAATTTCTTGATTCAAATTTGTTTTTTATTGACATTTTTTTGTTGAAATATGGTCTGAATCGTTCTGCTATCTGAACATGATTACAAATAAACTGTAAACCGTATATTTTTTAGCTACGAGGTTATCGTTACTCAAAATAAGGTCGAGGTCAAACCATAACTCTGGAAATTTATAAATATCAGCGGTAACTCTGCTTTTTCCATAAAATTATCTATTTCCCTGATGGAATTTTCATGTGATAACTCGGAAAAGGAAGTATTTCGCGTTTTTGAAAAATCCGCAAAGATGTTGCCTGTAATTATGAAATCATTAATTTTTTTCAATTTAATTTAGCTATTTTCTGCTTAATCTAACTTCAATTTAACCAATGTTTTTGCCTGTTTTCGTATGAAATTGTACATACATACAAGCAAACTCGTTCTGAAATTGTTGACATATTGATCCCCTAAAAAAAATAAATCCCGCTGAAACGAATCTCATTTGCCATTTGCAATTTTAAACTGGGTCAAGAAATCTGTTGACTCAAATCCACTTCACGTCAATCACGGGAGAAAGTACTTAAGTACCTGCTCAGAAAAGCAATCTCTGCATTTTTTCGGGAAACCTTGAGCATATTCTAGCATCATATGCAAATTCCGGAGGCACAACTTTTCCCAAGTCTCTGCTAGAAATAGGGCAGCTAAAAATATAATTGATATTTCTTTCTGAATTTTCATTTCATTTGTATTCTCGAGGAGATCTCAAATCATACATGAAACGAATTTTGCTCAGGACATGTGCATAAATTTTTAACGGAAGTAAATAATTATGTCAAACATTGTTATACAAGTTTAATTTGTTTTTGAATTCAAACTAATTTTATTATCCTGATTTTTAACAGATGTAAATCGTTAATTTGAGAATTTTGAGATTCATATCGTCGTGTCAACGTAAAAATTTGCAATTTTTTAAAATTTTAATCCTTAATTTGAATCAGAATAATTTAATTACGTAACGATTGAATAATTAGGT